GAACTCTGGGTATCCTGTTTTAGAGGGACATAGGCATTCTAGAATGCAACGAGAGAAGTGAGTCTGGACTAGATACTTCTCATCTGTGCTCTTCCTGCACCCTCTCTTGACCTTTCCCAGGAGTGTCTAAGCACCGGGTAACTGGCTGTTGGGTACTCTCGAGAGGATTCTTACCCTGGGATGTTAGACTGTATAGTATCTCGAAAGGCAAAAATAAGACTGCCTTAACCAGGTCCATGGGAAAACTGTGTATGATCAAATTTTGCCATCTTTTATTCCTGTACTTAAAAAGTAAAAGCATTCCTGTATTTTTTATTCTCAAGTAATTTTTAAATTTAAGAAAATTATTTTTTCCATATTTGTAGAAGACTAAAGTTGGAATTTTGATTTTTTTTTTTTTTTTATCCTCACTCGAGGACATTTTTCCATTTTTTGTACAGATAGAGTGGGAGGGAGAGAGAGGAAGAGAGAGAGAGGGAAACATCGATGTGAAAGGGACACATCGAGTGGCTGCCACCCGCACGACCAACCAGGGCCGGGGACAAACTGCAACCGAGGTACATGCCCTTAGCGGAAACCGAACCCGGGTCTCTCCAGACCGCAGGCGGACGCTCCAACTGCTGAGCCAAACCGGCCAGGGCGGAATTTTGATTTTTTAAAAATGCACACTCATTAAAATATTTGGTAATTAAATATGGAAGAGGCCCTGGGCAGGTAACTCGTTTGATTAGAGCATCATCCTGATATACACCAAGGTTGCTGGTTCGATTCTCGGATCAGAGCACATACAAGAATCAACCAATAAATTCATAAATAAGTGGAACAACAAATTAATGTTTCTCTTTCTCTCTCTAAAATCAATAAATTAAAAAACTTAAAAAAAAAAAAAAGAAGCAACCAGTGAATGTATAAATAAGTGGAACAACAAATCAATGTTTCTCCCTCTCTCTCAAAGTAAATAAATTAAAAAAAAAAAAAAGGGCCCTGGCTAGTTTGGCTCAGCCATTAGAGTGTTGGCCTGCAGACCTAAGGGTCAAGGGTTCAATTCTCAGTCGGGAGCGCATACCTGGTTGCAGGTTCAATCCCCAGCTTTGGTTGGGGTCGTGAGGAAGCCAGCCAATCAATGTCTCTTGCATTGATATTTCTGTTTCTCTCTATCTCTCTTTCTCCTTCCCTCACTCCCTCTCTTCCATTCTCTCTAAAAAGCAATGGAAAAATATCCTCGTATGAGAATTAACAAAAATAAATAAAAATCGCCCTCGCCAGTTTGGCTCAGTTGGTTGGAGCGGTGTCCTGTGTACCAAAATGTTCCAGGTTTGATTCTCAGTCAGGGCACATACCTAGGTTGCAGGTTCTGATCGATATTTTTCTCTCTAAAAAAAATCAATAAAAACATGTCCTCAGGTGAGGATTTAAAAATTTTTTTCTTTTTAAAGGAAAGAATATCCAAACACTTCCTCACTCTGAACCGCAGGTTGACACTAACTGCTGAGCCAAACCAGCCAGGGCCCAAATACTTCCTCAAACTTTTGTCTTCCTCTAGCTAATTCTCTTTTGCTTCCTTTGAAATCAAGTTTTTGATGAGTTATCTTCAGTTCCTGTCTCCCTGTCTCACCTCTTGTTTACTTGGAACCTCTGCAGTCTGGCTTCCACTTCAGATAGCCAGGCCAAGATGGCTAACAGTGACAATTTCAGAGGGATTGTTAGTAAGCCCATGGCCCTGAACTTTGAGGCCCTAGGGATGGAGGAACAAGTATATGGAGAAATGGTGGCCCTGGACGGTTTTGCTCAGCAGTTAGAGCGTTGGCCCCCAGACCAGAGAAGCCTGGGTTCGGTTCCCGCTAAGGGCACGTACCTCGGCTGCAGTTTATCCCTGCCTTGGTTGGGGATGTGTGGGCGACAACCAGTTGATGTGTCTTGTGGATGTTTCTCTCTCTCTTTCCCTCCTCTCCCTCCTGCTCTATCTGAAGATAAATGCAAAAATATCCTCGGGTGAGGATAAAAAAAAGACCAGAGAAATGGTGGTCATGGGGGTCTGTAATTGTAGCAACGTCAGGGGTGTCATTGTTCCTATATAAAATGGATAAAGAATGATAAGGGGTTCCAAAGGGAGCCTTGTAATTTCTTGTATCCATAAGCTTGTGTATTAATCAGGATATTTTTCAATTGAAAGAGACAAAAACCCAGCTCAAACCAGCCTAAACATAATAGAGAATTTACTGGTTAATATAACTGATGTTGAAAAGCTGATTGTAGCTTTACACATGGCTGAATCCAGGACCTCAAATGATCCCCTCTGAATTCAATCTCTCAGCTCTACTTTCTTCATTATTGGCTTCATTTTATAAGTAGCCTGTCCTCATTAATAGCAGAGATGGTCACCAACCACTCTTGAGTTGTACATCCTACCTGCTATGCAATCCTAAGGGAAAGCGCCTCCCTTGAGAGAGCTTCAGTAGAGAGGTCCCATGTACTCCCAACTCCTGTCCTGGGTTGGGTCACATGTCCACTAGGAACCAGGGGATGATTCCTAAAGGACAACTGGAAATAAGATGTTGGGAAGGTAAAATAGAAGATGTCCATTATACTGGGAAGCTCCCAGTTAAAGGTAACATTTAAATATAGTAAACATTTTATTGATTTGTAAGGTACTGTCCTTGGTGCTACATTGAATGTAGAATATGAGTATCTGGTCTTAAGGAATTTTAATTTTTTTTTTTCAAAGCAATTTTTAAAATAGTGTTTTTATTGATTCTAGAGAGAGGGTAAGAGAGAGAGAGAAACATCAATCAGCTGCCTCCTGCACATCCCCTACTGGGGATTGAGCCTGCAACCCGGGCATGTGCTCTGACTGGGAATCCAACTGGCAACCTCTTGGTGTGTGGGACACTGCTCAATCCACTGAGTCACACTAGCTGGTCTCTTAAGGAATTTTTTTTTCATCCTCACCCAAGGACATTTTTGCACTTATCTTCAGATAGAGCGGGAGGGGGAGAGGGAGGAAGAGAGAGAAACATCGACTGGCTGCCACCTACACAACCCCAACTGGTGCCGGGGACAAACCGCAACCGAGGTACGTGCCCTTAGATTGCCAAACTCAGGTCTCTCTGGTCCGCAGGCCTACGCTCTAACTGCTGAACCAAACCGGCCAGGACTCTTAAGGAATTTTTAATCAAGTAATAGAAATTAGATGTAAACATAAATAATGGTTATCATCATGTATTGCGTGCCTACTATGTGCCAGCAGGCACTTTGCTAAATGTTCTATATGCATTATCTCTATAAGGACAACTCTGTGAGAGTCACTTCTATTATTACTTATATCCATTTTATCTATTTATAAAAAAACCACTTAGGCTTCGGAAGTTTACGTGGTTCTGTCCAAGGTCACACAGCTAATGAGTAGTAGAACTGGGGAGAATCCAATCAGTTGTGACTCAATCCAGTGCTATGCTTTAGCTTGTACTTGACCTATCAAGGCCTCTTTGGATTCATCCCTCCCCAACCCTTTTTTTTTATCTTTACTTGAGGACATTTTTCCATTTTTGTTCAGATAGAGTGGGAGGTGGAGAGAGAGAGAAACATCAATGTGAAAGGGACACATTGAGTGGCGCTTCCCGCACAACCCCAACTGGGGTCGGGGACAAACTGCAGCCGAGGTACGTGCCCTTAGCGGGAACCCAACCTGGGTCTCTTTGGACCGCGGGCCAACGCTCTAACCGCTGAGCCCTCCCCAACCCTTTTAAAAATTGGACAACTTGATTGTAAATTCCTGAGAACAATCTAATTGACTCAATTTATCTTTTCCAGGATATCACAGTTGATGGTGGGTCTGTGGATTGGATGCCCTTGTATCCAGTGCCATTCTTTGATCTGATTAGCCCACCAGTTGGCTATCTACAAAGGAGGTTCAGTCACCATTCAATGACCTCTTCTTTGGGTTTGACCCTTAGGAACCCAAAGAGGCATGGCAGCCCCACTGCTCTTTGAGTCCTTGCTCTCCTGAACCTCCATCCTCCTTTATCCCTGCTGCCACCACCTGAGTTCAGATTCTCCCCATCCCTTCCTGCCTAGGTGGTCTTCCTGTCTCCAATCTCAACTGTGTTGGCAGAGTGATTCTAAAAGGGAACTTTTATCCAGTCATTCCTTTTAAGTCTTTCAGTGGTTTCCCATAGCCTTCAGGATGAAGTCCAAACTCTTTATATAAGGACCTGACCCTTGCTTGCCTCCAGTCTTGTATCTAGACACTACTTTCCTTGCACCTTTCAGGTCAGCCTTTTTTTGAACCACTTAGAGTTCCCTGAACCCATCATATGCCTATTTACTACTGGGCCTTTGCACTATTTTATGTGCTTAAAACCCTAATGTCTATCCTACCCCCTTCCCCATCACCTAGCTAACTCTTGCTTGTCCTGTTTGTGACATCTAGTTCTAGAAAACATCCCAGAATCACCTCCCTTCAGCTTGGTTTAGGTATCTACATCTCTTGCCTTCATAATGTCTTACTCTATCTCCCAGGCCGGTTTGGCTCAGTGGTTAGAGCGTTGGACTGTGGACCAGAGAGTCCCGGGTTCAGTTCCCGCTAAGGGCATGTACCTCCATTGCAGTTTGTTCCTGGCCCTGGTTGGGATTGTGTGGGTGGCAACCAGTTGATGTGTCTCTCTCACATTGATGTTTCTCTCTCTCTTCCCTCTCACTCCCGCTCTATCTGAAGATAAATGCAAAAATGTCCTCGGGTGAGGATAATAAAAATAAAAATAATGTCTTACTCTATCAAAGCATTTATCACTTCATATTTTAAATGTATGCTACATAATATCATTTCCCATTAGAATGAAGTTTCTTGAGTCAGCTTTTTCCCCCCAAAATTACTGGCACATAATAGGCTCTCAATAAAAAATTGTTGGACAAGTGAATGGGTCTTAGCAATGAGATCAAGTTGGCACATGTTTGTAGGCTTCTTCTGAACTGGCCTCTTTTTCCTCTGTGGTTCCTTTCAGGGCCTGGGTTTCAGTGATGAGACATGGGGTATGATGTAACCCGCTTCCAGGGGGATGTTGATGAAGATCTTATCTGTCCTATTTGCAGTGGAGTCTTGGAGGAGCCAGTGCAGGTGAGTTGGTCTGATGGCAGGTTTAGCGGGGCAATAGATGGCAGTGGAGCTAGTAGAAAGTATTCATAGGTAATGGGACCAGTGGGGGAGTCACTGTTCTGACTTCCCATTTCCCCCCTTCCTGCCTTCACACACACACTGCATAGAGGTTTGGGGCAGAGGAGCAGTGGCAACTACAAGAGGAATCTGTCTAGAGGTGGGTGCCACAGAAGTCCAATGCTTCAGATTTTCTTCTGAGGTCACTCTGAGATTTTTCTGCTGTAAAATGGTCAGTTGTTTGTTTTTGTCTTTTGACAATGGCTTGAGAACTTCCTTTCCTCTGCAGGGGCTCTGACTGGGTTCTGTCTTCCTACCCATGAGTGAACTTCAGGACTTTCCTGATAAGTTCTCTCTGCATTTTGATGATGTAATGTTTTGGGTAATCAGCCAGTCTCCCTACAGGCCCTGCCTACTGTCGAACAAATAGGAAGTGGGGAACTATATGTATTCACCTATTTTCTTCCTGGGATTTATTGGAAAAAATGATTTTTGATGCAGCCATGTACTCTGCATTTGATATGAAAGCTGCTACCTTCAGTAGGTCATTTCTCTACCAGCCTTGCCAGACCAGAGTCAGTTGTATCTTTCTGGGTCAAATATGAGGAGAAGCTTGTGATTAACAGGCAAGTATAATGAGTGACATAAATTTTTAACAGTTGTATTCCTGGGACATCATCCTGTATGGTCCTTATTGCCTGAATTCTGTAAATACCAATTAATACCCTACTACTCCTGGCTAGCTAGAGATAATCCAGTTTTCCAAACCAGGACACTTGTTAATGAAGTCTCATGGCTCTTCTCCCATTCACTGCTTATGCAACTCCCTATATCCCAACTCTCCTTGACCCTTTGATTTTATTCTTACTCTCTAGTTTTCAACCACCCAAAGGAGCACAGATGCCTGAATGAATGAAAATGAGCCTGCCCTGGCCAGTTTGGCTCAGCGGTTAGAGCGTCAGCCCACAGACCAAAAGTCTCGGGTTTGATTCCGGCCATGGGCATGTACCTCGGTTGTGGTTCGCCCTTGGCCCTGGTTGGGGTCGTGGGGGTGGCAACCATTCAGTGTGTCTCTTTCACATAGATGTTTCTCTCTCTCTCTCTCCTCCCCCTCCTTCCTCCCTCCCACTCTATCTGAAGATAAATGGAAAAATATCCTCGGGTGAAGATTAACAAAATAAAAAAATAAATGAGCCTTTATTCCAGTGGCAGCTAGCCCTGGACCTCTCCCTTGTCTTTTAGGCCTTTGCAGCCTCCTGTTATTAGAAGCAGATTGGCTGGGTATGGAGCAAGCTATCCTGGTGGTGTCAAGAGGCCATGGGTTGTGTCAGTTCCCTCCCCACCCTGGCAGGGCCTTGTCTGTTTTCTGGCGCTGTCATTTGAGGTGAGACACGTGTGGAGAGGTCAGTGGTGGTTGGTGACTGTATACAGAAGCCGCCCCGCCCCAGCCTTCAGGGTTTACCTTCTGAGGAGCAGGCTGGGTAGACCTCATGATGCCAGGCTACCAGCCACATTTCTAAGGGTAGAAGGCCCCTGCTAGGGATGCTGATTTCCCTACATCATATATATTTATTTTTTGAATCGGTAATAAATTCACATGGTTCAAAAATCAAAACAGTATAAAAAGTTATGCAGGGCCCTGGCTGGGTAGTTTCTCTCTCTAAAATAAAATTTTAAAAAGTATATTAAAAATGGTATATAGTGAGAATTTTTTGCATCCTTGTCTCAATCCACCTAATCTCCCCATAGATATCTATCAGTTTTTTTGGTATCCTTCCAGTATATATGTGGGCAGATATATATTTGTCCACCTTTCTTACATGAAAGGTAGTACATTCTGTACATTTCTGTAGGGGTAGCAGGTTTAGTTAAGATGGTCACAAAAGGGGACAATTGAGCTGAGATCTGAGTGATAAGAGACTATTCATGCTAAAATAGAGGAAGAGCATTTCTGACAAAGAGGAACAGCAAAAGCAAAGACCTGAGGCAGGAATGTGCTGGGTGTGGACAAGGAACAGAAATAAAGCCAAAATGTCCTGAATACAGTGCTGGGTGTGTGGTGTGAGGTGAGGAGAGGGCAGAGGCACAAGGGCAGGGCAGAATGTTATAGGTCCTGAATAGGTGTCTTTATTTATTTATTTATTTATTTATTTATTTATTTAATTTTCTTTATTGATTTTTAGTGAGAGAGGGAGGGAGAGGGAGAGAGAGAGAAACATGGATGAGAGAGAACATCAACTGGCCGCCTCCTGCATGCCCTCCACTGGGGATCGGGCCACAATTTGGGCTTGTGCCCTGATCGGGAATCAAACTGGCGACCTCTTGGTGCATTGGTTGACGCTCAACCACTGAGCCACACCGGCTGGGCAGTGTCAGTATTTATTTTAAGTACAATGGGAAGCCATTGTAAAGTTTTAAGCAGGGGAGTGATATGATCTAGTGTCTCTCTCTCTCTCTCTCTCTCTCTCTCTCTCTATATATATATATATATATTTTTATCCTCACCCAAGGACATTTTTCTATTTTTTGTTCAGATAGAGTAGGAGGGAGAGAGAGAGAAACATCCATGGGAAAGGGACACATCGAGTGGTTGCCACCTGCACGACCCAACCAGGGCTGGGGACAAACTGCAACCAAGGTACGTGCCCTTAGCGGGAACTGAACCCGGGTCTCTCTGGACCACAGGCCAACGCTCTAACCGCTGAGCCAAACTGGCCAGGGCTAGTCTATATTTTTAAATGCTCACTCTGGCTGCTGAATATAGAATGGAATATAAAGGGGCAAAGTAGAAGTAGGAGATCAGTTAGAAGACATATTTAGTAACATAGGTGAGAAATGACCTCTTAAACTGGGCTGATAGCTATAGAGATGGGGGAAAGGAGACAAATCTTAAGATTTTTTTTCGGAGACAGGGTTTCTAAGATTTTGGAAAGAATCAAATGTCTGAGTGAAAAACAAAAATTTGACAGTTGGATTCGTGATATTGACCATGACTTCCTTCCTTACAAAGCTTCTGTGTTTCAGTGTTTGGTGTCTATGAGTATCTTGAAGGCAAAAACTTTTGTTTATTGTATGCACCTAGCAAAGTGTTTAGGACATAGTAGGCACTCCATTCATTCATCAACATCTATTAAATGCCTACTATGTTTGTCCCATGCTAGAGGCCAGATAGTGTCTCCACAGAGGCTAGAGAATCCTTTCACTTTGAGGAATTAACTTTAGAGGTTACCTGAGTTATCAAGGAAGTAGGCTGAAATATGATCTTTATGAAACTGAAGAGAATGTGACTATGAAAAACCAGCCCTGTTTTGGAAGGTAGGCATGTCCACTAGGACTCAGGGCAAAGCAGCCCTCAAAAAATATAAAGTTGGTCCCACACAGACAGAATTCTTAACCTGTCACCAGGAGTTCCAGGTTTTTGTTCTGTTTTGCTTTCTTACATTGAACTTTTGCCAGTGAACCTCTTGTCCCCCAACTGCCCCCCCCACCCCACCAGCCCTCCTTATCCTTCAAGACCCATATTGAATTCTATCCTCTCCATAAATACCTGCCCTGATTGACCTAGCTTGGAAAGTTCTCACCCTCCTCTGAATTTCTTTGGTAATTATTTATTTATTTATTTATTTATTTATTTATTTTTATCCTCTCCCGAGGACATTTTTTCCATTTTTTGTTCAGATAAAGTGTGGGAGGGAGAGAGAGAGAGAGAAACATCGACGTGAAAGGGACACGTCAAGTGGTTGCCACCCACACGACCCAACCAGGGCCGGGGACAAACTGCAACCGAGGTACATGCCCTTAGCGGGAACTGAACCTGGGTCTCTCAGGACCGCAGGCCGACGCTCTAACCGCTGAGCCAAACCGGCCAGGGCTTCTTTGGTAATTATTATGTGTGCAATCCAGTTGGCAATTAATAATTGACTACCTTATGTCATCTCTCCTATTGTCCTGAAATATTATTTATATCTTATTGTTATGTAACTATTGTTACTTGTTTGTCTTATGTCACAATCCAGTTGGAATTGTGAGCATAGGAAACATATCTGAAACCTCACAGTACCATGCTTACCCATAGTGCAGCTATACTTACTTTGCTGTGACCCCAGGGACCTCTGGTCCTGCAAGCAGCTCAAGGGCTTGATTGGCTTTCCAGTTATCATATACAGGCTCTTAGCTCCTGCTAACTCTCTTGTGCCCTTTTGCCCTGCTCTCTTTCCAGGCACCTCATTGTGAGCATGCTTTCTGCAATGCCTGCATCACCCAGTGGTTCTCTCAGCAGCAGACGTGTCCGGTGGACCGTAGCGTAGTGACGGTTGCCCACCTGCGCCCAGTACCTCGGATCATGCGGAACATGTTGTCAAAGCTGCAGATTGCCTGCGACAACGCTGTATTTGGCTGCAGTGTTGTTGTTCGGCTTGACAACCTCATGTCTCACCTCAGCGACTGTGAGCACAACCCAAAACGGCCTGTGACCTGTGAACAGGGCTGCGGGTGAGATTCCTTTTCTTCTTCTGCCCGACATGGATAAGGGCCTTCCCATTTATACCCCAGACTCTAGATCCCCTGCGCACTGGCTGAGGTGCATGTAGACCAGGAGTGTTCTTGTCTCCCTGACATCCTGGCCCAAGATCTCACTTTCATGCTACTTTTCCAACTATGACCTTTTTGTTCTTGCTTTAATATAAGGAAGACAGCAATTCAGCAATCTGCATGATAATACTAAAGACTTGGTCTACTTTATTCTTCCCTTTCACTCCAGTATTACTTTCTCTGTGTCAAATTGACTCCTCTAATTTCCAGCCTTCTCATATTTCCTCTTGCCCTATTTTTTTCCTTTCTTTAGGGTGTGAAATATTTGATTAAATGCTGATAAACAAGGCTCTGAATCTAGTGCTTCTCAGGAATGAATGCACAGGCAGAATCTGTAGGAGGCAAGGAGAGCCATGTGGGAGATAAAATACTGTCTTAGAGAGGGAAAGAAGCCCAGAGAAAGTGGATAGCAAAGGGGTGAAGGGGAAGTTGGGGAGGAGTGTGTGAAGAGAAATAAGAGGAAGGACTGAAGTTAGAAATGAATAAATGTTAAAAACTTGGGATTGGAGAAAGCCCTATCAGCAAGTTTCTGACTTTGCCCACATGTCCCATTGAATGCTCCTGTTCTCTTTTCCCACACGGGATGGCAGCCTGGAGATGCCCAAAGATGAGCTGCCAAACCACAACTGCATTAAGCACCTGCGCTCTGTGGTACAGCAGCAGCAGACACGCATCGCAGAGTTGGAGAAGGCCTCAGCTGAACACAAACACCAGCTGGCGGAGCAGGTAGGGCCCACAGAACCCGGGGAAAAACAAGTCCCTGATATGCAAATAACCACACGCTTGTGGGTGATAAGCACCATGTGAACTGCAGAGCTATGCCTGTGCTTGTGCACCTGACTAAGTAGATACTCTGCCTGCGGCTTAGTCGGTAATCAGGTTGGAGCTCTTCTCCCTTCCCTTCATCCTCAATGTCGTTCATTCACCTAACATTTTTTCAAATGCCTTCTTTATCCCTGCCTTCATGAAGCTTACAGTATGGTTGTTCCTCCGATCTCTCAGTTGCATTCCTTCTCAGATAAACTTTTGTCTGTCATCTACTCTCTGCCTTAATCATCATCCCTGGTTCTCTTTCCTTCCAACAGAAGCGAGACATCCAGCTGCTGAAGGCATACATGCGTGCAATCCGCAGTGTCAACCCCAACCTTCAGAACCTGGAGGAGACAATTGAATACAATGAGATCCTAGAGTGAGTGTCACTCAGGACGTGGAGTTACTCCACATCTTGGCACTGAGCCCTGAAAGGAGGAAGAGCAGGGGAGTGGCAAAAGGAGGGTAATAGGAGGGCTGGGCTGGGGCCACCACTCTTTAGATTTTGGGGTGAAGAAGTGCAGCAGAGGAGAAGAGGATAATCTTCAGTCTCAGTATATGATTTCTTAATTTTTGGGGTGGATGGAAGGGAAAGCTTACCCAAGGATGTAATTTCTCCATAATTAGGTGAGTACCCACATTTACAAAGCCCTGTATTAAAGGCTGTGGAGTGCTAGGTAGGCCAAAAAGAAATAAGATATTGTCTGTCTTTAGGTAGCTTACAACCCAGAGAAGAAAAGAGTGCAAATCCAAGCGAGTGATCTAAAAATGCAACAAAAATGCAGAAAAGTCAACAAGCAAAGTCTAAGATCCCTTTCAGTTCTGAAGTCCTATATGTCTCAGACTAAACTGTTGAGAGTGAATTGATACCTATAATGCAAATAGTGCTGCATGGGACACAGTCTAGAGGAATAATTGCTTCCTTCAGTAAACATTGTTGAGTACCTAGTACATGCTAGGCACTATGTGTGCTAAGTATTTGGATTTTTAAGAAAAATAATAGGGACCCTGTTAATAGGGTGGAGTTTAATCTGGTAAGTAACATGTGGTGACTCAGATTGGACCAACTAGGGAAAAATTAGGAGTTTGTGAACCAGTGAGGGATTGATGGATGGAAGGAAGGAAGGAAGGAAGAAGGGAAGGGGAAGGGAAAGGAAAGGAGAAAGGGGCAGGAAAGGAAAGGAGAGGGGGAGGGGAGGGGAGGGGAGGGGAGGGGAGGGAGAATAGGGTTAAGCTAAGTGCAGAGTGGGTGGTCTTTCTTATTAGGGAAAGAAGCAATGCAGAGAAAGGTGAGCTGGAATGACCACCTCCATTTCCCTCCACACAGATGGGTGAACTCCCTGCAGCCAGCAAGAGTGACCCGCTGGGGAGGGATGATCTCCACCCCAGATGCTGTACTCCAGGCTGTAATCAAGCGCTCCCTGGTGGAGAGTGGCTGTCCTGCTTCTATTGTCAATGAGCTGATAGAAAATGCCCATGAGCGAAGCTGGCCCCAGGGTCTGGCCACACTAGAGACAAGACAGATGAACCGGCGGTACTATGAGAACTATGTGGCCAAACGCATCCCTGGCAAGCAGGCTGTTGTCGTGATGGCCTGTGAGAACCAGCATATGGGTGATGACATGGTGCAGGAGCCGGGGCTTGTTATGATATTTGCGCATGGTGTGGAGGAGATATAGATCTCGGCGGGCTGTCAGGAAGAATTGGAAATCAGAAAATCTCATCACTCCAGTAGCTGAGCCCTGAGTCCTCCCCACTGTCCTTAGTACTGTGGCTTATACTTGAGCCACATATCTCCCTGCTCTTTTGGCACTAAAGGGCCCTGGGACACCTTGCTCAGCCTTTCAGGTGGGAAACCCAGATTCCCTTCTTTGGCCTAATTTTTTCCCCTAAGATGTCTAAATTTTCAGTCTGGTTGGAAAGTACCCACCTCTATATCTATTTTCCTGCCTAGGGTCCCTGGTTCCAGATATTTTCAGAAAGCACAAAGATACTCATTTTCTCTAGAGGATCAGGGTAGAGTGAGAAATCTTGATTCATTCCCCTCCTTCGAACCAGGGAACCTGAGCAGGCAGGCCTGTTGACTCTAAACATAGAGGGCATCTCTGGGGAGCAGATATCCGAAGAAATGATAAGAGTGGAACCAAAACCTTAGAAATAATGAGCCAGTATCTGGCCATCACTGATGGCCCCTAGGGGAAGACTGGACTTCTGTGCCAAGCAATACCTTGTTTAGCCCACCTTAAAAGTGCAGGCTCCCACTGGTCTGCAGGTGTACAGGATGGGATGCCGAAAATGTCCAGATGAGCTCTTTCCTACAATTCCTCTTAATTGAGGAATGACAGGAATGGGGGAGGGGGTTAGTCTGTTGAGGTTAATATGCTCAGCAAGCAGCTCTCTGGCATTTGTTGAAATCAGGCAGGCAACTGCCTCTGTGGCACAGGCCGTAATAGTTCCCTAGCCCCCTCTCCAGCCCTGTGATTGTAACTAGTTATTTTGATCATTTCCTTTGGCCATTGTTGTTTGTTTATATTTCACTCCCTCACTCCCCCCCCATCCCCTTTTTTTAGAATGGCCTGGTTATGGCTAGCCCACTTTTCCAGTCTAGCCACATTGTTGGCAATTTAATTTATTTACTTTTTTTTTTAAGAAAGGAAAAAAAAATTAACAAAACTTAAAACTTTTCTTTTATTGTTCCAATGGTGGGGATTCTGGATAGGGTGGGACAGGGGTGGGATCTGTTTTATAATTTTCCTTTTCAGCATAACCTTTGGCTTTAATATAAGAAGGGCCAAGGGAGTCCTTGGCTGAACTTACGTCTGCCCCAACCCTCCATAACCCCATCTGAGATGAGGAGCTTCCTCTATTCCAGCAATGGGTGGGACAATCCAGCATCGATGCCTGAGCCCTCTAGAGAACTTTGCTCCTGGCCCTTCCAGGGTCTCAGTGTAAAACTCTGGATTTAGAGTATTAATTTTGAAGACCCCCCCCCCCCATTTCCTTGGAGATACATAGCTGGGTTCTAAGCTTCACCAGGCAAGAGGGGATAGAAATCATGTCTTTGTTTCTGAGTACAAGGCTGTACTCTGTCTCACCCGTGCTGCTTAAGGACTGCAGCTCCATTTCGGGCTACCTGGGGCATTTCTTGACCCCTAGAGTGACTGGCAGAGTAAGAGAGAGGGAGGGACAGAGGGTATGATTATTTTAATATGCAGGTGGGAATGGTGTTTAAGAGAGATGGCCATAGAACAGCTTCTTTTCTTGAAGTTTTATTCTAGGCCAGCATGCTGTAGGTCTAGGTAGTTGGGTCATGGCTCCACTGGGACTGGAGTGGAGGGATACAGCTTGAAGGGAGTGGGGAGCAGTCATGTTCCAGCTCCAGGACATTGTGCTCAGGAATTTGAAAACGCTGCTATACTTAATCTGGTTACTCCATTTCTTCCACTCCCTGTTGCCCCTGCCTGCCTTACCAAGGCCCATACCCTCCTGTTGTCACCCCCAGATGGAGCCAGGAAGTCAGTTCAGGCTTCCCCCACCCTTTGCACTAGTGTCTCTGCAGGTTGCTGGTTGTGTTATATGTGCTGTTCCATGGTATTGACTGCACTAATAATAAACCTTTCACTCAACTCTAAATTCTTAATTCAATATCCCTCCCCTTCTTATGAAGCTTTCTCCTCTGCTTTGACCTTTTTCTCACCTTAATTCTGTTTTTTTTACTTTGTAACCTATCCTTGTCTTAGAACTAACCCCTGCTTTAAGAGGATGTATGTCTGGAATTAGTGGGCACCTCACATCTTCTTTGCCCTGCCCTACTATGTCCTTCCCTCTTGTCCCCTGTTCTGTAGCAGGCAATACTCTCTGTCCAGTGATCTCAAATTTGTTTCTTCCAGGGTCTGCCTCTGCCCCAAATTCCACATGTTGTGCTCCTGAAGTTTGGGGACACTTTCCACAGAAGATATGCATGCACCCTTCTCCCTTGTTCCGTCTTTGCTTTGGAATCTGGGATCCATTATAGGCAGGGAAGCCTCTACCCTGAATGCCTCCTAACCAAGAAAGCAAATGTGAGGAAGGGAACCCGGAATGACTGACTACCTGTTGTGATTGTCAAACCTCAGTAAACCCTTTTGTAGGCATTTGTTTCCACCTTCTCCCTGTCGTGAGAAAAAGAAAATACTCTTTTCTTGAGTATTATATTTTACATCTGTTGAGCATTTACCATGTACCTGATGTAAACCTAATAGTACTCCAGATACTCGAGTGGGAGCAATGGTGGGGAACATAAGGGCATTCCTTTGCCAACCGAGTCTACTACACTTTTTAAAAATCCTGTACTACACTTTCATACATACAAGGTCTGATTATAAAATAATGGCGAACACATCACAATATAGAACATAAGAGGCAATATATGTACTAGTGAAACCAGTAGTGCTTTTTTTCCCCTCCAGGTTTTCTTAAAATTTACTTTTAGAACCTGTTCATTCTTTTCAATGTCATGAATGGTACCAAATCTTCCTTTTAGGGTAGATTTGGTTTTTGGAGACAATATTCAGACTATTCTGCAAGGAACTCACTGGGGTAGGGATGGGGGAGTTCATGTAGCAAAATGGCATCTACCTTCAAAGATGTACTCCCTAATGGAGATGAGTATATAATAAGACATACTAAATGTTGGAAGTGGATTCCAAGCAACATGTGAGCAGAGGGAAGATAAAGCCACTGTGATGGGTACCGGGAAAGACTTTTTCAGGAGAAATGGTATTTGTTCTAGAGCAGAGTTTGGCAAACTACTGCTTGCATCCTGCAATCTGCTTTTATAAAAAAAAAATTGTACTGTGCCCTGGCCAGTTTGGCTCAGCAGTTGAGTGTCAGCCCACAGACCAGAGAGTCCCAGGTTCAGTTCCCACTAAGGGCATGTACCTTGGGTAGTTTGTCCCCAGCCCCGGTTGGGGTCGTGTGGGTGGCAACTGGTCAATGTCTTTCGCATCGATGTGTCTCTCTCTTTTCCTCTCTCTCCCTCCAGCTTTATCTGAAGATTAAAAAAAAAAAATACTAGAACACAGTCATGCCCGTTTGTTGACATGTTGTCTATGGCTGTTTTTATATCAGCAGACATGAGTAGTCACACAGAACTATGGCCCACAAAGCCTCAAACATTTGTTTTTTGGTCCTTTACAAAAAGTTTGCCAACCCATTCTAAACATTTTTTTCTTTATTGATTTTAGAGAGAGGGAAACATCGATGAGAGAACATCGATTGGCCACCTCCTGCATACCCCGCGCTGGGGATTGGCCCACAACCTGGGCATGTTCCCTGACCAGGAATCAAACCAGCGACCTCTTGGTGCATGTGTCGATGCTCAACCACTGAGACACACTGGCCAGGCTAATTTTTTTTTTTTTTTTTTAAAGAATAGTTTATTGACTTTTATTTATTTATTTTATCCTCACCTGAGGACATTTTTCCATTTTTTTTTGTTCAGGTAGAGTGTGAGGGAGAGAGAGGAACAGAGAGAGAGAGAAACATCGACGTGAAAGGAACACATCGAGTGGCTGCCACCCGCACGACCAACCAGAGCCAGGGACAAACTGTAACCAAGGTACATGCCCTTAGCGGGAACCGAACCCGGGTCTCTCAGGACTGCAGGCTGATGCTCTAACTGCTGAGCCAAACCGGCCAGGGCAGTTTATTGACTTAGAGAGAGAGAGAGAGAGGAAAGGAGAGGGAGAAAGAGAAACATCAATGTGAGAGATCAATCTGCTGCCTCCTACATGTCCCCTACCAGGGATGGATCCTGCAACCCAGGCATGTGCCCTTGAGTCTCACCAGCCAGGGCCTGTACAAAACTTTTAAGGCCAAAAGAATAAGCAAAAGAGAGAAGTAGTTGTTTTGATTAAGTATATAGATTTGAAAAATCAGAACAGCCCTGCCAGTGTAGCTCAGTGGTTGAGCATTGTCCTGTGCACCAAGAGGTCGCTGGTTTTATTCCTAGTCAGGGCACATGCCCAGTTTGTGGGCCTGCTCCCCAGTGGGGGGCATGCAGGAGGCAGCCGATCAATGATCTCTCTTACTGATGTTTCTATCTCTCCCTGCTTCTCCCTTCTTCTCTAAAATCTATATAGAAAAAAGAAAGAAAAGTCAGAACATTTTATTTTATTTAGATATTTTTATTGATCTTTAGAGGGAGGGAGAAAGAGCGGAACAGGGACTGGCTGCCTCCTGCATGCTCCCTATCAGGGATTGGGCCGGCAATGTGGGCATGTGCACTGACCAGGAATCAAACCAGCAACCTTGTGGTGTACAGGAAGACGCCAACCATCTGAGCCATACCAGCCAGGACGAAACATGAGGACATTTTATACATTGCCAAAATAACAAGTGCTTAAAATTAATACTATATCCTTAATCTAATACAAACTTGTATTCATATTTCCCCAATTGTCCCAAGAACTTTTTTAAAAATAAGTTTTTATTGATTTTTAGAGAGAGAGATAGAAACATTGATGAGAGGAAAACATCTGATCGGCTGCCTCCTGCATGCCCTCCACTGGGGATCAGGTCTACAACCTGGACATGTGCCCTGACCAGGAATCGAACTGGCGACCTCTTGGTGCATGGATCGACACTCAAACACTGAGCCACATTGGTCAGGCAAGAAAGGAACTTTTAGAGCTAATTTTTGTCTAACCCAGGATCCAATCCAGGAACAATGCATTACACCAGGTTATGTGTGTCTTGACTCTTTTTCTCTCTTAAACTAGATTCCTGGAACAACATTTTTTGGCAAGGTGGGAATAACACATTTATTGGAGAAACTAGGCCAGTTGTCCTAGAAAGTGATCTTTTGGATCTGGCTATTTTCTCAAAGTGTCCTTTAACTTGTTCCTCTAACTCCTATATTTGCTAAACAGAATTAGATCTAGAGTCTGAGAGATTCAAGTTAAACAGCTCTGGGGATAGAAGACATCACAGGAAAGATATTCTTTATGTTGTGTAACATCAGGAGATAGGTCCAATTGTCCCAACACTAGCCTGATCTCTTCATTGTGCACTTGTAGGGAGATTTTCTTAAAGTTGGTTAGGTGACGAATATGTGCCCTGAGAGAGTGGGGCAGCTGGCAGTGTTGCTCTAGTTGGTTGCTACTGTACAAGAACAGGGGCCCAGTATGTCAAATCTTATTTTTCAAGAACCTTTGGACATCTTAATGTTTATGCTAAATCTCACAACTTTTTTTATTTTTTTTAGTTTAGTTTATTTTTTTATCCTCACCCAAGGACATTTTTTCATTTTTTGTTCAGATAGAGTGGGAGGGAAAGAGAGCGAGAGAGAGAGAGAGAGAGAAACATCAACGTGAAAGGTACACATCGAGTGGCTGCCACCCGCACGACCCAACCAGGGCTGGGGACAAACTGCAACCAAGGTATGTGCCCTTAGCAGGAACCGAACCCTGGTCTCTCTGGACTGCAGGCCAGTGCTCTAACCGCTGAGCCAAACCGGCCAGGGCATAAATCTCACAACTTTTAAATGTTGGCTGAATTAAAAAAACACTGCTTGTGGGCCCCCAACCCTCAAATTAGGGTCTACTAGTTGGCAACCTCTGTTTTAGGCTGAAATCACAGCATGAATAAAAACAAGTGGAGATGAAGGATATGGTGAAGAAGGAAAAGTCTAGTGTAATCTGGAGCATAAAATTTCTTTTTT